GGAGAGAGAAAAAAAGAGTATTTATATCAGCACAATGGGAAGGGAACAAAATGCCCCTGCTTTGCTGGCATCTTGGCCACATCAGTTACTGATCCAGGACAATGCTGGGTGGAACTGCCTTCTCATGTGTTCCAAAACACCAACGCTTTGGGTGAACAGAGATCCTAACACAATCTCTTCGTAGATTGAGCCACTCCATGTGGGATCAGCTGAGGTGGAGGCAGCATGGAGATCAGAAAGTCGGGAGCTAAAAGAGCCAGTTTGTGTAGTGGTGAAGGTACCAGGCTAGAAACCATGAGGTCTAGTCCCTTCTAAAGGCAGAGATCCCCAACTTTTTGGGCATCCAGGGACTGGTTCCGTGGAGAAGGTTTTTCCACGGACCGGAGAGTGCATGGTTTTGTGTGCTACCTGCATCCCACAGATGGGGTTTTGCTTGTTTGTGTGGACCGGTTCCTGGCATACTGTGGCCCCGTACTGGTCCATGGATCAGGGGTTGGGGACCCCTCATCTAAGGCATGAAGCCAACTGGTTGACCTTGGGCCAATCACTCTGTTTTATCCCTGGGAAGAAGCAGGCAAGGGCAAACCACTTCTGAAAATCATGCCGAGAAAGCTGCAGATACTACTTTAGGCAGTCACCTGGAGTCAAGTTTTACTCAAAGACCCACCATCACCACTACCATCCCAAAATGGTTAAATGTAGAAAGTTTCATTTTTGCATACAAGCTCAGTCTTTGGCATCTCAAGTTAGGCATTGCTTCTCTGAAATTTTGTTTGGTTGTTGACCCTTAGGGCAGAACATCTAACAGAAAAACAGAGTTGGGAGGGATCATGGGAGGTTTTCTAGTGCAACCTCCTGTTTAAGCAGGACACCCTAGCCCAGGGGTAGGCCACCTTGGCTCTTTTATGACTTGTGGACTTCAACTCCCAGAATTCCTGAGCCAGCCGTGCTGAGGGGAAAGGGAGAGATTTCCAAGCTGAGCCATGCTGGCTCAGGAATTCTGGGAGTTGAAGTCCATGAGTCATAAAGCGGCCTAGGCCTAGCCAGGGGTAGGCAACCTTGGCTCTTTTATGACTGGTGGACTTCAACTCCCAGAATTCCTGAGCCAGCCATGCTGAGGGGAAAGGGTGAGGTTTCCAAGCTGAGCCATGCTGGCTCAGGAATTCTGGGAGTTGAAGTCCACGAGTCATAAAGCGGCCTAGGCCTAGGCCAGAGGTAGGCAACCTTGCCTCTTTTATGACTCGTGGACTTCAACTCCCAGAATTCCTGAGCCAGCCATGCTGAGGGGAAAGGGAGAGGTTTCCAAGCTGAGCCATGCTGGCTCAGGAATTCTGGGAGTTGAAGTCCACGAGTCATAAAAGAGCCAAGGTTGCCTATCCCTGTCCTATACTATTCCGGACAAATGGTTGCCCAATCTCCTTTAAAATCTCCAGTGATGGAGCACCCACAACTTCTGAAAGCTTTTCCCATCTTGAAGGACTTGAGATATTTTGGCTGGGGTTGATCGTGTAACTAGTTCAAACAGGTGGAGGAAACCAGGTTGAGGATAGCTGATATACAAAGTCCTCACCTGGTTGACTCAGCGCTTGTAGACCTTGGTTTCTACTGGGTTTGTACCACTGCAGAGAAGAAGGCTCTTGAATGGTCTTGCAAAGCAGAGATATAACAATTTTCCCCCTTAATGACAGGTAACGTCATTAATTCTCTTTCTGGGCTGCCACAAAGGAGAAGGGGTCAACCTATTCTCCAAAGCACCTGAGGGCAGAAGAAGAAGAAGCAATGAATGGAAACTAATCAAGGAGAGAAGCAATCTAGAAATAAGGAGAAATTTCCTGACAGAACAATTGATCAGTGGAAGGACTTGTCTTCAGAAGTTGGGGTGCTCCAACATTGGAAGGTTTTTTTTTTTAGAAGAGATTGGACAGCCATTTGTCTGAAATGGTATAGGGCAGTAATGGCAAAACTTTTAGAGACTGAGTGCCCAAAACCCACCCCACCCCCACCCTGCCCACCACCCTGTGCCCCGCCTACCCGCAAGGCCACCCACCGCCTCCACGGCCTTCAACAGCAGATCACCCAAGTAGCCCAGCAGCACCATGGTGGCCACACCCTCCACCCGCACCTGTAGCATCATCTGCGCATGACAGAATGTGAGGGCAGAGTCTTGTCCCCACTATCTGACTGCCATGTCCTTGGCTGCGCTGCTCCAGGTAGGCCATGCCTGGGGGTGACTCTCTTCCGGGGGGGCTGTTGGTGTGGAGGGGGCCATAGGGGGATGCAGGGCTGGGACGACAGCACGCGTGCCCATAGAGAGGGCTCTGAGTGCCACCTCTGGCACGCGTGCCATAGGTTCGCCACCACTGGTATAGGGTTTCTTGCTTGAACATGGAGTTGGACTAAAAGACCCCCCCAAGATCCCTTCCAACTCTTGTTATTCTGTTAATGGGCTTAGAGAAATGACTTGCCTGATTTCTGAGATCTGTCCTCTCTTTTCCCTTAGGAACTGGTGCTCCTCTGTTCAATATCGGACAGCCACTTACGTTGCAGTGTGCAGGACAGAGAAATACATCATCCGGTCCCAGCAACCATGTCCGAATGGAACTCCAGACTGCCAGAAGATCATGTACGTAGCATCGTCCTTTCTTCTTAAGAGGAAGTCAACCCAGCATTTAAAGTAGCCTTGCCTGTTGCCTGTTGCGATCCAGTGTCTGGCGTCTCCTTTTGACATGGAAGGGAGTTTCCTTCCTTTCCTCAAAAAAGACTATCCAATGCAGCTTGAAGGTTTCCCAGGAGTGAGGAAATATCTGACCTAGCTTAGAGAAACTTGCCCTCTTTGGGAATCACACCTCATCAGATTACAAAATTTCCCAGAAATCCAGAGACGACATCTTAGTGTTGTCTCTCGTTTATGGTTATGAACACGTTGTCCCAAATGACGGTTGCTTCTCTCTTTAAAGCAGTAGTTTTCAACCTTTCTAATACCACGACCCCATAATATAGTTCCCCATGTTATGGTGACCCCCAACCACTTATACATCACTGGGTGCCAGGGGCGTGGCCAAAGAAAAGGGGAAAAAATTGGCGGACAGCCTTGTTTGGTGATCCTTGTGAAATGGTCGTTCGACCCCAAATGGGGTCCCGACCCACAGGTTGAGAACCACTGCTTTAAAGGCATCGTAGGATTAATTAATTCAACGGTCTGGTTGATGAGCATTTCTAAACCTCCCTTTAGGACAGGGGCCCCCAAACCCTGGCCTGTGGACCAGTATTGATCCGCGTCATGCCAGAAGCCTGTCCACACAAACAAGCGAAGCCCCATTCACTGGAGGCAGGCAACAGACAAAACTACATCCCCTCGGGTCAATGGAAAAACCTTTTTCCATGGAACTGGTCCCTGGTCCCCAAAAGGTTGGGGCCTGTGCTTTAGGGCATATTTAAGCTTCAAGTGGATAACTTTGCAGAGAAAGGAAAAGATTGTGCCCTTAGAGGCTATCTCTCTCAGCCCTCTGAGCAGAGGACAGCCTTCTGCAGAACCCAGATCGATGGTTAAAGAAACCTGCATGTTTTAGCAACCAGTCAGGCACACAAAAGCAAATGAAGCCTACAGAGATGAAGACTAGATAGCAGCAAAGAGGTAGACGGCCACCTGGATTTCTGCGGATAGATTTTGCAGGTCCCTAATCGCCATGTTGTCATGGCCCTTTATCAAGACCTTCAGGGTATGAGATGAAGCTTACTTCTAATCTATCGCTTTTTTCCTTCCTTCTTCTTCTAGGTACAGAACAGCGTTGAAGCCAGTCTACAAGATAAAAGAGAAAGTTGTCAGCTTTTTAGACTGGAAATGCTGTCCAGGTTATGTAGGCAAGGATTGTGAACATTATGGTAAGAATACCATAGGTAGCCATCTGTAGTTGAGTGCATTCTGTGTGTCAACTAATCAACCAGATTGGCTGAAGTCAGGTGCGAGTATCTGGGGGGGTTGAGAAACCTAGAGGGACTCTTGACTGTTGAGAACGTTCTCTGCTGGATCATAAGTAGCAGAAGAGCAGAGAAGATTGCAAAGCCACAGAGGTCCTTTCTTCCCATCTTCTCAGAATCTGAGTTTTTATCTCAGACTCCAAGACTGTCTTGTCCCCCACAATATGAAGATCATCCTGACCTTCCTAATAAGTAAGGATGATCAAAAAAATACAAGAGAACTATTTTGAAGGAGCAGAAAAACCCATCTGAATTATAACTAGGTGTTCTCTTAACACTATTACATCAGTCCATATATTGGTATTAGGAAACAGGTTGATCTCTGGGATGACACAGAAAGGAAAAATGTCCTTTAAAAGTTTAAATAATTGTGGGTTTTTTTCTGGGGGAAAAGGGAAATAAATGTCTTATGGAATTGATTTCTAGATCCAGCTCAGTTTCCAGTGAGTACCAGTCAGCCTGAACACTGGGAAGAAACATTCTCAAACCACAGTAGGTTTCAACTCATCCTTTACTTCCACAACTGGAAGGATGTATTTGTGAAACTGCTAGGGATTAAGTCCATAGTTGTACTTCCCATCCTCATAGTATAAATGGAGAATATTTCTGAAGCTTCTTCACTCATACCACCTATTGTTTTTCAGATATGTTAGGCGAGGGGTAGGCAACCTTGGCTCTTTTATGACTTGTGGACTTCAACTCCCAGAATTCCTGAGCAGCCATGCTGAGGGGAAAGGGAGAGGTTTCTATGCTGAGCCATGCTGGCTCAGGAATTCTGGGAGTTGAAGTCCACGAGTCATAAAAGAGCCAAGGTGGCCTACCCCTGTGTTAGACTATAACAGTCTTCTCCTTCTACTACATCAGTGGTTCTCAACCTTTTTAATGCCGCGACCCCCAACCGGTCGTAAGTCGAGGACTACTCAACCGGTCGTAAGTCGAGGACTACTCAACTGAGGCAGCACCGTTTGCAGAATGGGACTTTTGGCAGGCTCAGCAGGGCAGAGACAGCCTGGACAATTCCTATTGGCTTTTGAAAGCCAATAGAATTAGAATCTATTCAAGAGAGTCTATTCTATTGGCTTTCAAAAGCCAATAGAATAAAAGGGAGTAGCACAGCTAAGGAAAAGGGGGAAAAAATGGCGGACTGCATTGCTTGGCGACCCCTGTGAAATGGTCGTTTGACCCCAAATGGGGTCCCAACCCACAGGTTGAGAACCACTGTACTACATCCTTTTTTCTTTTATCAGCTGGGGGTTGCTTAAACCAACGTTAGCAGTGTCTAAAGAGTCCTTAATTATCCATTAAAATCATGTCTGAAAATTACAGCCCACGTTTATCTCTCTTTTAACTACTCACCTCTGGGCATTAGCAAAATATGAACAACAGTAGAGAAAAGCAGTAAGAAAAAATAAATAAGATGGAGATGAAGGCATTCCATGTGCCAGTAATTTTTTTTTTTAAAAAAATGTGTTTTGGAATGTACGCTTTTTGTTCAAGGGTATTGTACACAAAGACCTTAAAGTGATCTGCAACCTACATAGACTATATTGATTATTTGAAGATATATTTCTTAAATGTGTTCCATTGTTGTTAGTTGCGAAGTCGTGTCCGACAGTTCATGACCACATGGACAATGTTCCTCTAGGCCTTCCTGTCCTCTACCATCTTCTGGAGTCCATTGAAGCTCACACCTACTGCTTCAGTGACTCCATCCAGCCACCTCATTCTCTGTCGTCCCCTTCTTCTATTGCCCTCAGATGTGTTCCATATTGATTGACAAAAGCTCAGCTCCATTCCTTGCTCTTTTGAAATTCTATTTACTGCAAGAAAGACCAGCATGTGTCTTCCTTCTTCCTACTAGCAACATGTGTGCGTGGCTTTTGTATCTGTAGGCTCACCTTCCATGCTAAATATATATTTAGATGTGTTTTGGTCTTGTCTTGCTTCTTTGCAAATAATGTCGTATCTGCCAGACTCGGGAGATGTTGTAGAAGCCCATCAAAGTCATGAAGCTCTGCTAGAAGACCTGCAGAATGACGTTCACCAGACAGCAAACAGTTTGGGAATCTTACAGAATGTCCTTCATCACAACAGCACCAACAGAAACGGAGGGATGGACCAGCACCAGTCAGGTAAGAGAAATATTTCTCAACCGTATCAAAAAAGGAGACTATTTCAGTAGTTCAGTGCTGAATTGTGGGTTCTTTGATGCTCTCTGGCCTTGATTGTTTACTTGGAGACATTTCATTACCCAAACTAAGTAACAATATCAGTGCTAGAAGGAAGTGGGGTTTGCAGAGAGGAGGAAGAGGAGGAGGAGGAGGATTGTGGTGTCCTTGATGCTCTCTCAGCTTGGGTGTTTCCTTGCAGACATTTCATTACCCAAACTAGATAACAATATCAGTGCTAGTCCTGATGATGTTACCTAGTTTGGGTCATGAAACATCTGGAAGAAAACACCCAAGCTCAGAGAGCACCAAGGACATCACAGTCCTCTTCCTTCTCCTTATTTCTCAACGGTCTGAACCAATCAACCAAACACAGAAGTAAATGCTAATGTATTTTTGGTCTGTGATGTATTTCAGAAGTCCAGCAAATGCTCTTTCTCCACATAAACAGTTTCCTGAAGGAGCATTTTAATCCTGTCTGGGCAAGTTTCAATAAAAGTCTACAGGACCTGTCCACTGCTGTGCAGAACCTTTCGCAGAGCGTGGAGGCTAATCGGAAGAGCATAGAGCAGTTCCAAGAAAGTGCTGTGCCCAGAAAAGATTTCCAAGAACTAGGGACCAAGTTTGAATCCAAAGTCCAAGCCAATGTTCTGAGGGCCGACCAGATGAAGCGAGAAATGGACCGCCATAACTACCTGCAACAAGCAGTCATCAACTACAATCTTACCATGATCAAAGCAGATACGGACCTGAAGCTCAAGAGACACCACAAGCTGCAGCAGTCTTTTTTATTAGCATTAAACAACAGTTTGGCCGACCTGAGACAAGAGCAAAATAAGCTTCAGGGTGAGCTTGAGGTCCTCAACAGAAATTTTGCAATGTTCCCAAGGAAATTGGGCAATCGGAATGAGATGTTTGCAGATGTTGATGTGCAGAGCCTCAATCAGACCTTGGAAAAACATGCTCGGGAGCTAAAGACACTTTATGAGGAGTCTGAAAAAGACTATGAAGAACTAACTGATTCCATCACAAGGTTAAAAGACAGCTCAAAACACGATTTAGAGGACTTCCGAATACGATTAATAGAAGGGAGTCTCATGATTGATGAATACAGAGAAGATGTAGAAAAGAGGATTTTCGCTCTTAATGATAGTCTGGCAGATGTTCAAGAAAACTATTGGAGTCTACAGAAGTCCATGAAGACATGCTGTTGTGAAGATCAGCCTTCCAGTACTGATGTGGAAGGCTTAAAGAACACCACTCAGATGCATGGAGAACATCTAAAGCATCTGGAGGCACGTTTAAAAGATCTCGCCGCTGCTTTCCCGCTTATCCACCAGTCTTTGGATTTCCAACAAGAACAAAGTTGGAAGCTACAAGATGGACTCTCTCTCTTAAAAAACCATTCTGAAGTTTTGTCTGAGGAGGTTGATCTGCTAGAAAAAGCCGACGAGAAGATGCACCATCACATCAAGTATCTGAATAGTTCTTTCAATTCATTGCTGGGGGATGCATTGAGACATGAGACAGCCCTTGAGATCTTGCTTGGAGAAGAAATATTGGAACACCTGTCTGAAGAAGAGATCATTCTATCCATGGATCAACTTCCAGAGATGAACATCAAATTAATGTCAGACTATCTCAAGAAGCAAAGTATGACACTAGAGTCTCTTAAGAAGAGAATAGACTCTTTGGAGGCAGATCATGAGAATAATCCACATGATCATAAATCTTTGAAAGATCCTGATACTGAGAAACCAATAGACCTCAATCCCCAACATGGTAGAATAGAAAATATGGAGCCAAACCATGAAGCTGTAATGGAGGATGCCTTAGACAATCCAGCATACCATGATATTATGACCCTAAAAAGAGAGATTGGACATCTTACGAAAGAGATGAAGAAATTTGAATCGCAGTGGGATCATATTCATTCCTGCTGCAATCAAACTAAGGCCAACCTCAGTGTTTCAATCAAGGAGGTGAAGGAAGATCTTGGGTCAGCCCAAAAAAACTTTGAAGAACATCTAGCGATCTTTCAGAAATTGTTTAGAAATAGTAAGGAGCTGGCTGCCTCAAATGTAAGCCTGGATGTAGCAAAGCTTCAGTTGATGATGAGCAGAAAAACGAGGAAGCACCTTAAGGAACAAGAACAGCAAAACATGAGGGACAAGAAAGAGGTCCATGGCCACAGAGAAGCTACTTTGAATGGAAGAAACAAGATCAATGCAGAGACACTGGAGGAAGGTAGGTTTCTTCTGACTTTTTAAAATTTTCTCATCATGGTTTCTAAAGTTCTTATCCATTGTTAGGTTGGCATCCCAACATGTCTGGATGTTGGGGTCTTTTATTTAAAGCCATTTAAAACTATTTTAAGAGAGAGGTGGTGAACATGAAGAAGGCACAATCCTACGAAGTCCACGTTGTCCTTACAGCCTATGAACAGTTCTATCCTTTCCTCAGCTAGGTTCCTTCCTTGCAATGGTCCCGGGCAGTTGCAAGCTGCCCGGGACCAGACTGGCTGGTGCCGGCTTTGCGCGCATGCGCGAGGTGCGGAGCACGCCTAATTGTTGCCATTCTGCCTGGGGAATGTTATTAAGGGAAGCAGAGAGGCCTGCGAGCCTCAGAGCTATAACGGAGCAGAAGAGACTACAATAAAGACTTCTTGACACTACAAGATGTTCTGTGCTCATTCGCCATTAAGCCGAGGACTCAACAAAAAGGAAATTCAGTGTAGAGAAAAGTAAGGTTTTACACTTAGGCCAGAAAAACCAAATGCTCAGGTCCAGATTAGGCGAAACCTGGCTCAGTAGCAGTAACTGCAAGAGAGATCTTGAAGTCCTAGTGGACAATCACTTAAATATGAGCCAGGAGCGTGTGGCAGCAGTCAAAAAAGCCAAAGCAGTCCTAGGTTGCCTTAACAGAGGGATAGAATCATGATCACGTGAAGTATTAATATTGCTTTATAAAGCCTCAGTAAGACCATCTTTAGAATACTGAATCCGGTTTTGGTCACCATATTGTAAAGATGATGTTGACAGAGGGATAGAATCAAGATCACGTGAAGTGTTAATACCACTTTACAAGGCCTGGGTAAGGCCACACTTGGAATACTGCATCCAGTTTTGGTCACCATGATGTAAAAAAGATGCTGAGACTCTAGAAAGAGTACAGAGAAGAGCAACAAAGATGATCTGAGGACTGGAGGCTAAAACATATAAGGAACGGTTGCTGGAATTGGGTATGTCTAGTTTAATGAAGAGAAGGATGAGGGGGAACATGATAGCAGTCTTCCAATATCTCAGGGGCTGCCCCAAATAAGAGGGAATTAAGCTATTTTCCAAAGCACCTGAAGGCAGGACAAGAAGCAACGGATGGAAACTAATCAAGGAGAGAAGCAACCTAGAACTAAGGAGAAACTTCCTGACAGTGAGAACAATTAACCAGTGGAACAACCTGCTTCCAGAAGCGGTAAATGCTGCAACAGTGGAAGTTTTTAAGAAGAGACTGGACGGCCATTTGTCTGACATGTCTGAAGGCAGGACAAGAAGTAATGCATGTAGTGCATCTAAGAACAGAAATGCCGAGGAAATGATTCAATTAAAAAAGGAAATTTTATCAAGGGCCTGGGTATATTTACCACTCATGCACATTTTCAGTGTCATTTTGGGGAGGTAGAATAGAACGATGAAGTACTATATAATCAAGTACAAAAAGAACACGAGCCTTTGAATATAATCTACAAAGGCACTTTGCTCTGCTGGGATGAAAAAAAACCCCTGTATTATACAGTATACAAAAAGCATGTTGTACCAGAGATCCAGGGTGGAAAATGTACCCTATGCCCTTGGTTAGCTGTATCTCTCTCTGTTAAATATGGAGAGGTAATGACCCAGAGTTTTTAAAAAAAGCTTAGGAAACTAACCACCCGGTTTATTGAAAAAGATGGAACTTATCAACAAGTTAGCAATAGTTAAAATGGATCTCCAGGAAGCTGCTTGATTAAAGCTCAGAGTCCCAAGTATTTTTCCTTTCTGCTGAAAATTATTTGCTTTGTAGCAGCGACATCTCCTGGCCATCTCCTTTTTCTCAAGCCGAAGTGCCTCCCAGATGACACTGCAGGACCTTTTGTGGTTGTTGTTGTTAGTTGCAAAGTCGTGTCCGACCCATTGCAGCCCCATGGACCCCGTTCCTCCAGGCCTTCCTGTCCTCTGCCATCTTCTGTAGTCCATTTCAGCTCACGCCTACTGCTTCAGTGACTTCCATCCAGCCACTTCATTCTCTGTCATCCCCTTCTTCTGTTGCCCTTCATCTTTCCCAGCATCAGGCTCTTCTCCAGTGAGTCCTTCCTTCTCGTTAGGTGGCCAAAGGACTTGAGTTTCAACTTCAGGATCTGGCCTTCTCAAGAGCAGTCAGGGTTGATCTCCTCTAGGACTGACCGGTTGGATCGCCTTGCAGTCCAGGGGACTCGCAGGAGTCTTCTCCAGCACCACAGTTCAAAGGCCTCAATTCTTTGGCGCTCAGCCTTTCTTGTGGTCCAACTTTCACAGCCATACATTGCAACTGGGAAAACCATGGCCTTGACTGTACACACTTTTGTTGGCAGGGTGACGTCTCTGCTTCTGGTGTCTACCTCCTTCACTGAGACAACGTTGGGTGGGAGGTATTCCAGGAATTCTTGTGCTTCGCTTGGGTAGTTGAGTTGTGTGTCTAATCCCAGAAGTAGACTGTGTTTTGTCTGTTGTCCTAGAGGCCCTTGTTTTTCCCCTTCACAGAATGAAGAAGGGAAATATTATCATTTCCCCACCTTTTGGACAAAGAAAAAAAATCGCCTTTGTACATGGTTGATCTTATGGATAACTCCATCTCTACAGAGCTAGAGAAAGACCTGCGAGTTGTGTTTATCCACACACTGAGCATCAACAGTTGTGCTTTGTGCATCATATTGTCTGAACAAACTACTTTAATGAGTGTGACTTGTTTTGTTGGAGAAACATATTGTCTAAACTGAAGAGGGGACCATCAATCTTCACTTATTTCCATTTCAAACCACTTAGATAGCTCAAGCTGACTACAGAATCCTTATTTCTCATCTCTATATAGGGGGGCATTTATAGCAAACACACAAAAGATGAAGAATTATTGTATTGATCAGTAATGGAAACTGTCCAAAAGCAGAATCACCCGAAAAAACTTCAGTGGATGAAGCTGTGTGGCCTACTGATGGTAGGGTGAGATGTTACAACTCCTTGCGACAGTGGAGTTGTTGACATCACCGTTACGTTAAGATATAGAATACATTTGAGGAGGTATCAAGGATGGAAGAGGGAGATGGAGGCAGTCCTAGATGACTGGGGAAAACTAGGAATCAAATCTGGATCAGTGGAAGATTTGGGAGTAGGGTTTATCTTGAATGTTGGCCTCTGTTGCAAGTCTTAATATTCATTCATCCGGTTTTGGTCACCATGGTGTAAAAAAGATGTTGAGACTGTAGAAAGAGTACAGAGAAGAGCAACAAAGATGATCAGGGGACTGGAGGATAAAAGATAATAAGGAACGGTTGCTGGAATTGGGTATGTCTAGTTTAACGAAGAGAAGGACAAGGGGGGACATGATAGCAGTCTTCCAATATCTCAGGGGCTGCCCCAAAGAAGAGAGAGTCAAGCTATTCTCCAAAGCACCTGAAGGCAGGACAAGAAGCAACGGATGGAAACTAATCAATGAGAGAAGCAACCTAGAACTAAGGAGAAACTTCCTGACAGTTAGAACAATTAACCAATGGAACAACCTGCCTCCAGAAGCGGTGAATGCTCCAACACTGGAGGTTTTTAAGAAGAGACTGGACAGCCATTTGTCTAACATGGTATAGGGCAGTGGTGGCGAACCTATAACACAGGTGCCAGAGGCGGCACTCAGAACCCTCTCTATGGGCACACGCGCCGTCGCCCTAGTCCTAGGCTTTCAGCTGGGTTTTATAAAACCTTTTCACTTTAGACCTCCACTGCCGTGTGCAAAAAAAAAAAAAAAGGGTTCAATCAGTCAATTTCAACTTCTTGCAGGGAAAAAAAAGATCTTGCAAAGTTGGAATTGATTGATTGAACTTTTTAGCCCCAACCAGTCGGCTGTTACCACTGCAGCCATGCCCACCCAATGGGCCACACCCAGCCAATGGGCCATGCCCACCCGGCACTCGACGATGCATAAGTGGGTTTTGGGTTGCAGTTTGGGCACTCAGTCTCTAAAAAGTTCGCCATCACTGGTATAGGGTTTCCTGCTTGAGCAGGGGGTGGACTAGATGATCTCCAAGGTCCCTTCCAACTTTATTATTATTTCCAAGCTGGAAAAATATCACCAGAATGTCTATGTTTCCTTTAAAAGGGCTAGAGGTATGTAGAATTCTGTTCCCATCCCCTAATTTTCCCTTTTTCTTACCTCCAGGCACAGTGGTGGCTTTTTACGTGCAATACGCCAAAGGTAAAGAGGAGCCCTCCATCCTGAACCGCACCTACCTTAACTACGGAGGGGGTTACTCTCGTGAACACGGCTACTTCAAGGCATCTCATAACGGTGTTTATATGGTGGCGGTCAGTGCTGAATTTCCCCCAGGACCCGTCATGGGACAACTAGTTTTCAGCAATGGCCACAGAACGACTCTAATCAACAACACGAAGAGGAAGTCCAGCGGCGGTTATACAACTCTCGTCGCCCTCGTGGAACTGGAGAAGGGAGACTTGATGTGGTTTGAGCTGGTCCAAGGGGCCGCAGTGAGACAAAACATAGTTGGATTGAGCATGGCAGGGTTCTTGCTACTGAAAACCTGAGAAGGAAGACCTTGGCCATGTCAAGAGCCCTCCTGTGAGTGAAGGATGTCTTAATGAATGACATTTTGCCCGCATAAGGACATTAGCTCAGCAATGCTTTCTAGAAGGACTTCGGTAGCTGCTTAGGCACGGCTCCAACGCAGTGGAGGTGCAGAAGACAATCTGTTTCTTCAACTGGGCACGAGGCTATGTGTTCTGTCCCAGCCGATGTACGTCCTTGCTACTTCACAAAGACAACCCCTCTTTTAACAGTAGACTGGAAAATAAACCCTTTTTATTTGAGTTACAGACCCGATAATTGTCCCAGAAAACAAAAGCAACAGAACACTTTTCCAATGGAGACCTTGTCCAAAAGCAAAACGGAGCACGAGTCAAACAGGAAATATCTAACAAGCAAAATAAACAGACCATGATCTCGTGTGTTGTCAGCCACCTCAGAGTTGTTGGACACAAGACGGGTGACAAATAAATTTTATAAATAAAATTTCAACTCTGATTCCCACATCCACATTTGCAGGGTGTGGCTGTGAGTCGGAAGAGAGAGTAATGCCATCCATGGGGAAACCCAACTTTGTGCATCACATTATCCAAACAAACTTTTTTTACTGGGTGTGGCTTGTTTTTTCCTGCACCATCTGTAGTCACACTGGAGCATTAGAAACCCCAAGGCAATTCTCCCATTCTCACGAACGATCTGCAGGTAGTTACTAGCACTCAACCCAAAAGAGCCCATCTTAAAAAGTGTTGTTTAAGGATGTCCATTGTCAGAAATATATATATATACTTTCTTGAGCCAGAATTTTCTTTCCATCCTGAACTAAACATACCTGGAGTGATTATTCCCCAAATTTGTGGGCTGAAAACTGTGGGCTCAAACTCGCCCGATGAATGGAAATTGTTTTTTAAATAATAATAATAATAATAATAATAATAATAACAACAACAACCACTTGAACACCATTGGCATTGACAAATTTGCTATTAGTCAATTGCAAAAGGCGGCCTTACTAGAAACTGCTTCCATCCTGCGACGATACCTGTAATACCATCAAACATCCACATCTGCCTATCCCAGGTCCTGGGTAAGGACTCGATAGGTAGACAAAATGCCAAATCCAGTCTGAACATCTGGCTGACTGTGCGATGATCCTCAATAATAATAATAATTGCTTTTCAGGGCACAATCTCAATTTATTTCTAGTAATGCTAGAAAAGCAAGAATGGATAAAATCAGGGCTTTCGCAAATGTACGTTAAGCCCTTTGGCACAATTAATTTGCCTTTGGCCAAGAACAGAAGCTATGCAGAACTGAATCTAGTTGGTATTTATATCAGACACCTTCAAATGACACCTGACAATAATTAGGATGAGGTTTTTGAAGGCAATTGCCAAAAAAACTTAAAAAGTTTTTAAAAGTCCTCAACTTAAAACAGTTGTTTAGTGACCGTTCAAAGTTAGAACGGCACTGGAAAAAAGTGACTTATGATGGTTTTTCACACTTACGACCGTTGCAGTATTCCTGTGGTCACGGGATCAAAATTCAGATGCTGGGCAACTGACTCATGTTTATGACGGTCGCAGTGCCATGGATTCACATGATCTCTTTATGCGACTTTCGGAAAAGTTAATGGGGAAGCCTGATTCACTTAATAACCTTGTTACTAACTTAATAATTGCGGCAATTCTTGTTGTTAGCTGCGAAGTCGTGTCCAACCCATCGGGACCCCATGGACGTCCCTCCAGGTCTTCCTGTCCTCTACCATCTTCTGGAGTCCATTGAAGCTCATGCCTCCTGCTTCAGTGACTCCATCCAGCCACCTCATTCTCTATCGTCCCCTTCTTCTCTTGCCCTCCATCTTTCCCAGCATTAGGCTCTTCTCCAGTGAGCCCTTCCTTCTCATTAGGTGGCCAAAGTATTTGAGTTTCAACTTCAGGATCTGGCCTTCTAAAGAGCAGTCAGGGTTGATCTCCTCTAGGACTGACCGGTTTGATCCCCTTGCAGTCCAGGGGACTCGCAGGAGTCTTCTCCAGCACCACAGTTCAAAGTCCTCCATTCTTTGGCGCTCAGCCTTTCTTATGGTACAACTTTCACAGCATACATTGCAAGGTCATAAAATGGGGCAAAACTCATTTAACAACTGTCTCTCTTAACAGCAGAAAATTTGTGCTCAGTTGTAGTCAGAAGCCAAGGATTATCTGCACGCAGATGTAGCTACATAAACTTTACCTCGAAGGAACTTCATGTTCGATAAAATTAAGTCATTTTTTTTTTAAAGGGAAGCTTATATTAATAGAGTCTTTCTGCTCCTGGCACACCAACAGAGACAGGGGACATGTTTTTGGATAGGAGTATTGCTTCCATAGAAGCATTATATAGAATAGCAAATATACTAGCTAACGCACCATTGAGAATCACAGCTATTAAACAATGACGTTGTTTGGCTGGAAGCTGTATCAGCAACCCCACAGATGTGTAATATGTTCAGTCACCAACGGGACACATAAAAATGAGGATAAAACTTTATTCTTGTGTCCCTTCGTAATGTTATTGCACTATTTCTTGATGATGTACAACGTCCTTCCCGATTTTGAGCCATCATAAATGCGATTACTACACCAACGAAGAATAATCTTTTATCATACATGCCAAAGATTACTCTGTGTACTAATTTCACCGCGTGATGCAGGGCTAAACAACTCCTAGATGGGATTCTGAATTCAAAAACATGGGACAGCAACTTTACCAAATAATATGAGCAGCTGTGCGTGAACCTGGCACACAATTCTAGCACATTCTATGTAAAATACGTGACCAGGATCCAGCTACTGTCTCTTCACCAATTTCCCTCTGCTGCAAAGGATGTCTAGCAATTTAAAAACAACAAAATTCAATGATTTTCACTGCATAAAATTGAGTAAATGAAAACTCCAAATTAGCCACGCCCAGTAGATAGCACTCGGGTTTTAATCCCACTGAAAGCAAGGACTGTGTCTGACTCAAGCATTTAAGGATCATACCCAGCCAAATACATCATGTTTAATTTTTGTAGTAAGCGTGGCATATTTAAATCCTATGATTTAGTGTCTGAAGAGGTCCTTGATGCTCTGAACTTGTTTTCTTACAGACGTTTCATGATATAAACTAGGTAACATCATCAGGAACTGATGAGATCATGAAACCTCTGCAAGAAAACAACTAAACTTAAAGAGCACCAAGGACTCTCTGAGCTGCAAATATTCTCCATCAATTTAGTGCGTGACCTGTAATTCTTCTTGGCACAAGATACAATTGGGAGAATAGCAACAATTGCTGGTAGAAAATTTAGCCTGTATGGTTAATTAACTTCCAAGCTACTACCCCAATAGTATTAAACTGAAACATCCCAGTGTATCTTTCTTATATTCTTACCCACCTTGATGGTGTTAAGTTGTGGCATCGGAACTGTGGCTTTTAAACAAGTTGACATGTTTGACATCGCGTTCCAAATGGCGCCATCGGAGGGCTTAGCCTCTTTATACACTGTACCTCTGTCAAAATATTCAGCATTACCTGGAAACTTATTCTGCAAAACATGGATTCTTGCATTGACCACAGCATTGACCACACGCGAGGCTCTTAGAAATTCCCAAGTTTTTATAAGGATCCCAAAAGAAACTGGGAGCAAACATAAAAGGGGTATGGTAAAAGGGGGATAAAGAATAAGACTGAAGGGGGTAAAAAAAAGAGAAAATGGCCAATTGGATTGGGGAATGAGCTTCCAATGAAATTGCCAGGGTAAAATTCTGCTTGCAGCCTCCACTCTTTTGGTAAGTGGAGTGTGGGAACACCAACTGTGGCAGCTGTCCTGAGATCATCCATCCATCCACCCACCCACCTATTCATCCAAACAGCCATCCGTCCATTCACCTGCCCGTCCATCCATCCACCCTATTCACACAAATATCCACTCATCCATTCACCTATTCTTCCAAACATCCATCCATCCATCCACCCACCCACCTGCCCGTCCACCCACCTATTCATCCAAACATCCGTCCATCCATCCACCTGCCCATCCATCCACCCACCTATTCATGCAAACATCCACCCACCCACCATCCAACGACCCATCTATTCTTCCAAACATCCATCCATCCGTCCATCAATCCACCTATTCAACCAAACATCCATCCATCCACCCTATTCATCCAAAATCTGTCTGTCCATCCACCCACCTATTCATGCAAACATCCGTCCACCCATTCATCCAAACATCCGTCCATCCACCCATCCACCTGCTTGTTCATCTGTCCATCAACCCACCTATTCATCCAAACATGCATCCATCCATCCATCCACCCATTGATCCAAACATCCATCCATCCATACTTCCACCCACCTATTCATCCATCCATCCATCCATCCATCCATCCATCCATCCATCCATCCATCCATCCATCCATCCATCCATCATCCCTTCCCTTCTCCATGGATCTTCACCACTGAAACAGCTGTACTATTTTTCTGAGCAGATGTACTTTCTTGTACTTGAGCACGTAGTTTTTTCTCCAGGCTCAGTTTTAAAAGCAAAAGAGATCACTGTAGACCTGGAATTCTGCAGGCCGCCCAATATGAAAACTGCTCAGGAACAAATATATTACTAACGTTTACTAAAATAAGGTTGTTTACTCCAAAAAAAAAAAAGATACAGTGACATAAACTTGTGTACAGAACAAAGCAATTTCATGGTAAACATAAGGCACCTTTTAAAACGGATGTGATACAAAAAGAAAAAGGAAAAAAAAAAACATTTCACCCAGTACATTTGAAAAAAAAAAACATTCTACAATGTCTGGCATCTGTAACAAAAGGAATATAATCCAGCTATTTTCACCCTCTCTTCTTTATTTACACGATCTCTAAAGTCAGCTACATGATTCTTTCTGTATACAATATAATACATTTTTATATAAGGCAGGAATATGCCAGAGTTCGTAAGAGTAAATGAAGTGAACTCATATACTGCATTTTAAGGTCATTTACAGGAGAAGGCAAAACTATGAGATGACTTTTGAATTTGGACAAAAAGCATTGTTCGCTCCACATTTATTACACCAGTAACAAGTCTTGAACTGGAAAACCTACCCATTAAAAAAAAAGAAAATTGAGGCAATACAGGGAGTTTTTTTTTTTTTTAAATATATAAAACGTGGCAACATCCAGGAAGATGCCTGCATTGTTCCTGGTGATCTGCCTGCCTCATAAACCACAATGGACTGTGAGAAGACTGAAGCACTGAAAATTTGGTAAAAAAAATAAGGCAAGGGCAACTTTATATTTAACCGCTGTCCCCAGACCAGAATACGGATCGAATCCAAGACAGCTTCACCGAAGACCAGTCAATTTTAAATCCTCCCGTGCAACGCCAAGTGGAATTTGGCACTTTCTCATTTAGAATCGGGTTGACTTTATTGCAAGTTGATTTGCAAGAATGACCGCAAGAATCCCAGGGCTTATGAGAGCTAGAGGATTTTTCTACCCTTTTGAGCTTTAGGTGGTGTAAACAGAACCAGCTGGGAAATGACCTTAAAAAATGGAAGCCAAGAAAGCGAGAAGCGTTGAGGAAATAGTTAGGGGAAATTAAAGGTATTGCTGAGATGAGCAAAAGGACTCTGGATGGATTCATGAAGCAGAACGTTCTTCTGGAAACCTGATTGACACTAGCCCTTCAGGACAGGCAGATGTTTACGGACATTTGATGGCATGGGAAGCTTTTTGGACTCTTTTAATGGCACCCGTAAGGTTCGTTCTCTTTTGCCAAAGGGGTTTTGTCTCCAAAATTATGGCGATATTTGGCGGTATTATGCTACTGCAGATGTAAATCTTTCATTTACTGCTACGTCGTTAATCTCTCGTTTGATGGGAATGAAAATTAATAGACAACTATTAGTAGGAGGGTCACTGAGCAGATTACAAACAGGAGGGACATTTTAGAGCAGTGGTTCTCAACCTGTGGGTCGGGACCCCATTTGGGATTGAACGACCATTTCACGGGGGTCGCCAAACAACGCAGTCCGCCATTTTTTTCCCCCTTTTCCTTAGCTGTGCTACTCCCTTTTATTCTATTGGCTTTTGAATGCCAATAGAATAGACTCTCTTGAATAGACTCTAATTCTATTGGCTTTCAAAAGCCAATAGGAATTGTCCAGGCTGTCTCTGCCCTGCTGAGCCCGCCAAAAGTCCCATTCTGCAAACGGTGCTGCACCAGTTGAGTAGCCCTCGACTTACGACCGGTTGAGTAGTCCTTGACTTACGACTGGTTGGGGGGTCGCGGCATTAAAAAGGTTGAGAACCACTCTTTTAGAGTAAGAAAGGTGAACGTTGCCTGGGGTTATGCAAATGGTTACTCACTGCCAAATGCAAGTAAAGAAGCTGGATCTGTCTGGTGCTTTTAACACCAACATTCATTCCCCAGCAAGGAGCAAAACACAGGGAAATTTTCTTCTAACGATTGCATACTAATCTCAAGGCCTCCCTTCACAAATACTCGTTAAGGTGGAAGGTTTTCTTGAAAGGGTAGTTCAAAGGCATACCTGGGCAGGCATTGATCTGCACAGCACACAACAGAAGACATTACAAAGCACTTTTTGAGCAAGAGGTACGTGCTCCCTGATGGCAACTGAGTTGAAAAGGACAATGTACCATTAACACAACTCTCCAGATTGGGGAAGCTTGTAAAAATAAGGCTGCTAGTAAGGCCATTAGGTTAAACCAGGGGTCTACAACCTTGGCAACTTTTAAGATCGGTGGACTTCAACTTCCAGAATTTCCCCACTCTTGCTATAACGAATATCCCATTTCTTTAGTTGCTTGCATTTGCAGCTGAAGTGCCTCTAACTCCTTCCCTTTCCTTGCTACAGACAGCCCCCATTCATATCCAATGACGGCAGAAATAAGCACACAGCAGAATTTGGTGTAGGCCAGCTTGGCCACCTGCAATTAGGCAATAGATCGAAATCGCAAGTTCAACAAATGGCATCTGATCATCGTTTTGCTCAGGTCCACCAAGTGACCTGTGATAAATGCGCACTTCAAAAAAAGGCAACAAGGGTTGGAAGATGTATCAATAAACTTAAGGCGCTAGAAGAGACCTATTGAATGACATACTAAATGACTAACAGGGGAATATTAAGAAGAAGCTATGTTTCTTTTTCAGTTAATCAAGGCAGCGAGACAGGTTCCAGATAAACATAGATTGAAATTTATGGCTCTGTACTGTGGTTGATTGCAACAACCAAGCAACACAAGCTACCTAAAGGAGCAAGGCAAGAGTAAGGTAATAGTAGAGTAAATGACGTCACTTTCTGGAACAGATTAAACTAACTAAATTAATCTCAGGAATTATTCTGTGAATTATTTGCCTGTTGCTACACTGCAGAGAGAGGGAAAAAAATCAGTGCTTTTCGTACAGGAGTAAGTTGCTTTGATTACACCAATGTGGGCGATTTTGAAAGGAAGGGAACTCACTGTCTTACACAATTATGGTGTAACTGTAATCCCTAACCTGTTGGAGATCGCCAGACCAGAAAAGCAGATCTACACTAAGGTATGTTACGAAAAAGTAAAGGATACTTAACAATTCTTAGATATAACAAATTGGGAGGCCTATCGGATCCAAAGAGAAATGGCTCTAACTGAATATGACATCAACTAGATTGTTTTCTATTCTAAAGCTTTAAAAAAGTGTGAATCTTAATGGTCAGAATGCTACTAAACGCTACCCATCCTACATGGCACTTAACAGCGGAAATACATTGGCCTAATAAACTGATGTACTCCTCACCATTTCCAAGATCCATGATATTTTTTTGCAAACAAATCTTTGCTTAAATGGAATTTTAATGGAAAGGAATTTGGCTAGACTAGAGTTTCCTATCTGTATTCTCAAGAACGCCAAGATCCCTTCAGAAGATCACTACAAGAAGACCACAGTTGCTCACCACTACAGAGGTTGCTCCAAAATTAAGAGAAAAATCCGAAAGTTGGGTGTGTGGACCTCTAGAATGTCATTGGGTTGTGAGCCACAATGGTTTGGCACCTTGGCAAACAAGCGCTCCTTAATGGCCATAGTAGTGGTATGGAAGGTAGAAAGCTTGGAAAGCACGAAGAGCGAAAACAGCTGGTCTACATTGATAATTTGGTTTATCCCAAGTAATCTTCAACTGCTTGTGCAAAATGAGATGTGAGGTTAAGTTTCAGAGCCTTACATTACCTTCTTAGCGACGGACAGAAGAACATGTCTTTCGCTAAGGACCAGTGGCAAAATGTTGTCCGCCGTTTGCTACCTTCCCAATAAATTAATCCATAGCTTATGTACCTATTATCCGTTTGGAGGAATATGCACTAATACTTAAAAGGCATTGCTGAGTGAGCAAATGACTTAAAGAAATGTTAAATAAAATTTGTACACCGAGTTATAAATTAAACAAATACTGCTACATATTGCCTGACCCAAAACCCCTCACATGGCATTGTCGTTTGAATTCACACTCAAATTGCATTAAAGCAGGGGTATCCAACCTTGGCAATGTTTAAGTCCCATGGACTTCAATTCCCAGAATTCCACAGCTTCTGTGAGTTGAAGTCAACAAATCTTAAAAAGTTGCTCAGGTTAAACACCCCTGCATTAAATCATCTACTGAATGCTTCTCCAAGGAAAATTTAAACGCTTCTGTAATATCTGTTCCAATACACTATTCAACACGTTGCCTTCTGCAGGTGTGTTTCTAATGCAACCGAACGACTTTTCAAATTATTTTTCAGATCTCTAGCATGGCACGTTTAAACATATACAAAGAGCAAGAAATGAAAAGCACACTGCGTACGGCATAAATAATTTCCCTTTTCCAAAAAAATAAAAATAAACAAAAACAAAACAAAACAAAAAAAAACAAAACAAAACAACCCCAGCTAGGGCATGGTTTACAGTACAAGATCACAGGCACTTAAAATTATCGAAGTGATTCTGCGGTTCAATGTGGCGGTCTTCAGGAATAGCTCTGGGCATTGATTTTGATCTTTGCCATGAAACTTGAAAGAAGCGGCACAAAAGGAAGGTTAGAAGTAACTCTTCTTCGCATCTCGAATCTATGTCGTGTTTTAAGACAAGGCCTTGCGAAAAAAAGAAAACGGTAGCTTTGAACAAAACCAAATGGCTTCTGAAGTACTCCAAACGCGGGAGAAAAGTCCTGGCACAACATTGTAGAAGACTTAAGGAACAGTCCAATGATTTAAAAGTGTCCCAGACACACAGGCTATTCTGTCAAGTCCTGGTTAGGTAAGTAACATCAGGTAGGAGACAAAAAGCTTGATTTTTTTTCCCACCCCCGTTGCCGTTGCATTCAACTTAAGGCTTTCACAGAAAGCGCGATCGGTCTGAATATCCAATTCAGCACTCAAGAAACCGGTGGGGATTTAAAACCGTGATGAAAATCTTAATGCAGCTCAAAATAATAATAATAATAATAAAAAACACAAGGCCATCCACGCGTGTTTATCGTATTGTGTGCGCGGATCCCACGTCCTGTTAAAATTTAATTATTTATTAGCAGCCTGTAGAACTAACGAGGAAGTGTGGGCTGAAAGTCAAGAGGTCTGCTCCTGTTCCCATCACACCTGCACGGGGTCGCATGAGCAGCTCTAAGAGTCCCACATGCACTCCCCTGCGACGTGTCTGTGTCAAATTTTGACGTCTTGCGATTCCACCATCTTGCCAAGCGTTTTCTTAATCCTCAAGGCGGTGAGTCTAGAGGCTGGATTGTGGGCCCAGCATTCGCACATTAATTTCAGTATTGCTCTTAAACACTGGAACGAGAACAGAAAAGAGAATCTCACAGAAACGAATAGCGCCAAAATAACATTCACCAATGGTGCAATGTACGCTAGCCCTGTTACGCCCAATTTAAAACCGGCCACACAAAGAAAAATAACGTCAGGTCAAGCACGGGAAAAAAAACTTTGAAGGAGAGGACTTGACCAGGAATTCCCATAACCATTTCCCTGGGCTTAATGAGAGGGAAGCACAGACGGAGAAAGGAATGAGAAAAAAAAAAAAAAGGAATGCCGGAACACTGGTGACAGGGGAACGTGGCATAAAATTAAAGGACGAAAGTACTTTTTTTATTTTAAAATTAAAATTAAGAAAAAATGTATTAGGTCATTGACGGTCTGAAAGATGGAATGTTAAATTAATTAAGATATGTATAAACAGAAGATTATTGATGAGTGTTAGAAAGTTATTTTCTGTTTGACTGATAGAGTAAGAATCATGTTGGTTTGAATAGGAGACAGTATATTTTAAGGGGGAAAGAGAGGAAATTATTTGTCGTTAATACTTTCGAGATTTGTATTGATGATATTTAAATACAATGGAATTATTGCACTCAGCTGCCACGTTGCTTTTCAAATGTGCAAATGTAATATTAGAAAATTAATAAAAAAATTTTTTAAAAAAAGATGAAAGTACTGTAGTGTACTTTGGAGTAAAAGATAAATAAAAAACAGAGGCAACACTGAGACAAAGAGGCAAAAGTACACACAAAAACTAATTAAAGAAGGTATCTTTTCAAAAGAGACTCTAGTAATTGGGTCTGTATACGTAAACTAAGAAACCAGATTTTAGGAAATAAAAACATTTTAAATATCTACTCTTAGTATTTTAAGAGAAAACAGGGCTTTACATGTATGAATAATCTATTATGCAAAAATATTAACCAAGCATCCAACTTTAAATGTGTCCTTTGAATATGATTATATCCAAAGCCCTTTGAAGTTGCATTAATTGTTCAGCAAAGCAATTTCTCACAATACGTGATGCGACTGCACGGTGGATAGCCTTGTTTTGTTTTGTTTCTAAATGGAAAGAAAATTTTTTTTTGTGCATATTCTAAACTCGTAGTCCTGGTGCGTCCCAAGATCCCAATCGGAAGCCAGCTAGAAGGTATGGATTTTTTTTGTAAGGCAGAGAAATAAAATCTGATTTCATTTCATTTACGGTGCTCACCTCATCGCTATTCCATCGATTTGACACCACCGGGCGCAGGTGCTTCACGCAAACCACCTCTCTCATATCCTCGAACGAAGGATCGTTCGGGACCATATCGTAATAGGGCAGCTGGTATTCTTCAACAATGCCTGCAAGAAATTCACGGCCGCTATAAATATTGGAATGAGGTACGCTCTGCGGTCAATAGAAAAATGCGTCTTTTATTCAAGCTGCAGCTAAACTCTCACACACAGTGGCTCCATTTTCCCACTTTGGAGAATACTGGGAACAAAAGGAAATGTATGGCTTTCTCATTTTCTGGAGCCAATCCAATCAGTCCCAAAGAACGTCAAGAGACTGTGCGAATTATAATTCAAGATAGGTGAACAGCACTAGACAGCCCACCTACGTTCCGTTCTATTGGCATCCTATTTCTGGTGCAGAGGATTTGGCCAAACATACACAAAACTGTCTCACCGCTATGGTTAAAAGAGAGAAGCACCATATAAAAAAGGACTTCAAGAATGAGAAATTCCCTATTATCCCAGGTTGTTCAGATGCCACTTTTAGCATTTAACTGACTAACAAGAGTTGGAAGGGACCTTGGAGGTCTTCCGGTCTAAGAGACCCTATTATACCATTTCAGATAAATGGCTGTCCAGTCTCTTCTTAAAAACTTCCAGTGTTGGAGCATTCACCTCTTCTGGAAGCAGGTTGTTCCACTGGTTAATTGTTCTCACTGTCAGGAAGTTTCTCCTTAGTTCTAGGTTGCTTCTCTCCTTGATTAGTTTCCATCCGTTGCTTCTTGTCCTGCCTTCAGGTGCTTTGGAGAATAGCTTGACTCCCTCTTCTTTGGGGCAGCCCCTGAGATATTGGAACACTGCTATCGTGTCCCCCCTCTTCCTTCTCTTTATTAAACTAGACATCCCCAATTCCAGCAACCGTTCCTTATATGTTTTAGTCTCCAGGCCTTTAATCTTATTTGCTCTATAATTTAGTGCAAAAGGATTCAGACCAAGCAGAACACAGAAGATGTTGCAGAGGGTTTGGGATTTTATTTAATTTAATGAAGAGAAGGATGAGGGGGGACATGATAGCAGTGTTCCAATATCTCAGGGGCTGCCACAAAGAAGAGGGAGTCAAGTTATTCTCCAAAGCGCCTGAAAGCAGGACAAGGAGCAACGGGTGGAAACTAACCAAAGAGAGAAGCAACCTAGAACTAAGGAGAAACTTCCTGACAGTTAGAACAATTAACCAGTGGAACAACCTGCCTCCAGAAGCGGTGAATGCTCCAACACTGGAAGTTTTTAAGAAGAGACTGGACAGCCATTTGTCCGAAATGGTATAGGGCTGTGGTGGTGAACCTATGACACGGGTGCCAGGGGTGGCACTCAGAGCCCTCTCTGTGGGCACGCGCGCCGTCACCCCAGTCCTAGGCCTTCAGCTGGGTTTTATAAAACCTTTTTGCTTTAGGCCTCCGCCGCCGTGTGCAAAAAAAAAAAAAAAAAGGTTCAATCTATTTCAACTTCTCGCCGGAAAAAAAAAAAAAGATCTTGCAAAGTTGGAATTGATTGATTGAACTTTTCAGTCCCACCCAGTTTGCCGTTACCACCGCAGCCACACGCACCCAATGGGCCACGCCCAGCCAATGGGCCACATCCACCCAGCACCCGATGATGCCTAAGTGGGGTTTGGGTTGCAGTTTGGGCACTCGGTCTCTAAAAAGGTTCGCCATCACCGGTATAGGGTTTCCTGCTTGAGCAGGGGGTTGGACTAGATGACCTCCAAGGTCCCTTCCAACTTTATTATTATGATGATTATTATTACCTCCTGTGATGCATCGGCGAGCCATCTCCCAAATGATCAAGCCGAAGCTGTAGATGTCAGCCATGATGTATGGCTGGAAGTGATTTTTATTCAAAGTTTCATCCAGGACCTCAGGGGCCATGTACCGTTTTGTGCCCACCCTCGTATTTATAGGAACATCGACCTCATTTGTATCACTAAAAGAAGGCAAAAAGATAGGAAACGAGGTAAGACGATGCCATTATGGCAATTACAACACAGGACATTTACGATGGTAATTATTATTATTATTTTTGCACAAACGCGCTAAGATTCCACCCATTTACCAACGAAGAACATTTTCAACCGCCTGCTTCTAAGACCGAAATTATACCGATACGGTTTACTTCTCAAGCATGAATGCAAAGGACATTACTGAAAATTGAGCTCTGAAAGGATTTGTTCATTGTGATGGAAATATTGGAAGCTGCCAAGGATGAGCAGAATCAACACTGAAATGTGCCTTTTGATTTGAAGCCAGAGATACTTTTTAAGTAGATGGTGTTTTTAAAACTTCAGTCTAGATGTTTGGATGTTAATGTTCCATCGCAACTACCATATTTTCCGGTGTATGACTTTCTAAACCCTGAAAATCTTCTCAAAAGTCGGGGGTCGTCGTGGAATATCCAGAGAATTTTTAGGAGGGTAAAATTTACTCCGCAATTATTTTTGTTAGGTATTGTTACAGATTGTGATACAAAGGAGGTTGTATTGATGTTAAACTTGATCACAGCCGCTAGGCTGTTAGTAGGACAATACTGGAAGAAGGAATCTTTGCCTACATTGCAGGAATGGTTTCTTAAAGTAGCTTATCTGGCAGAAATGGCAAAGATTTCGGCTTTCTTAAAGCAACAAACGCAAGAGAAGTTTTTTGCTGTTTGGGATAAATGGATAAAATTTATACAATTTAGATGGGTATACAAAAATATTATATAGTTTTTTCATAAGTTTTATTTTCATATATATTATAGATAATTTTTTTATATATATAAATATAAAGTTTTTAATTTAATTTTTATTTTTATTTTTTAAGCCTATATTCTGCTCTGGGAAGCTCAGGGGGGGGGAAGGGAGGGGTTTTTTTTTTTTTTTTTAATATATGTATTGTTTAGTTTTATTTTTCTGTATATGTTGCCTCTTGTTTTGTATTATTTTTCCTTTTTTGTAAAATTTATAAAACTTTCAATAAAAAAAAAAAAAAAAAAAGTCGGGGGTCGTCTTATACGCAGGAATATACGGGTAGCTGTTCTCTGAATTTAAAACCAATCTGCCCCCTAGTGGCCAGGACTATTTTTTTTTTTTTTTTTTTTTTTTACAGAAATAAGCACTAACAGGACAAAGCTTTCTAGCAGCAAAGGAATGGAGCTCCTATTGTGCTCATCTATAAACAGAAATTCAATATTGTACTGTATTTTCTGGCGTATAAGACCACTTTCTAAACCCTGAAAATCTTCTCAAAAGTTCGGGGTCGTCTTATACGCCCAGTCGCCTTATACGCCGGAATATACGGTATTCTTTTCGTGTTGGGTTTTTGCTAAGGAAACACTGAATTCTCTTTCGTTACTTTCAAACACTAAGAGTCAGTTCTTCTCAGACAAGTCGTCCATGGGAAAAACCACCCGTGGCATGAATCGTATCAGCTGCTCTACCAGATGACTCAGAAGGTGGGAGATATTGGCTGGAGATACAGGACATGAGAAGACTCTACTCTATGGATTCCTGCACTGGTCAAGGCGTTGACCTACATGATCTAACAGTAACAGTAGAGAGACCCTACCAGGGGTAGGTAACCTTGGCTCTTTTATGACTCATGGACTTCAACTCCCAGAATTCCTGACTCAGGAATTCTGGGAGTTGAAGTCCATGAGTCATAAAAGAGCTGAGGTTGCCTACCCCTGCCCTATACCATTCTGGAGAAACGGTTGTCCAATTGCCATTGATGGAGCACCCACAACTTCTGAAGGCAAACTGTTCTTCTGATTAATTGTTCTCCCTGTCAGGAAATTTCTCCTTAGTTCTAGGTTGCTTCTCTCTTTGACAAGCTTCCACCCTTTGCTTCTTGTCCAGCCTTCAGGTGCTCCTGAGAATAGGTTGACCCCATTGTCTCTGTGGTAGCCCCTCAAATACTGGAAGACTGCTCTCAGATCACCCCCAGTCCTTCTCTTCTTTAGATTAGACATACCCCTATTTTTTAATCCTACGGTCCCCTGAATCAACTTTGTTGCTCTTCTCTGCACTCTTTCTAGACGCTCAACATATTTTTGGACTGTGGTGACCAGGACCGGATGCAGTATTCCAAGTGTGGTCTTACCAGTGCAGTATAAAGTGGTACTAACACTTCATGTGACCTTGATACTATCCCTATGTTGATACGTCTCCAGACTTCCTTGTAGACCAGTGGTTCTCAACCTGTGGGTCGGGACCCCATTTGGGGTCGAACGACCATTTCACAGGGGTCGCCAAACCACGCAGTCCGCCATTTGTTCCCCCTTTTTCCTTAGCTGTGCTACTCCCTTTTATTCTGTTGGCTTTTGAAAGCCAATAAAATAGACTATCTTGAATAGAGTCTAATTCTATTGGCTTTCAAAAGCCAATAGGAATTGTCCAGGCTGTCTCAGCCCTGCTGAGCCCACCAAAAGTCCCATTCTGCAAATGGTGTTGCACCAGTTGAGTAGTCCTCAACTTACGACCGGTTGAGTAGTCCTCGACTTACGACCGGTTGGGGGGGGGAGGTTGCGGCATTAAAAAGGTTGAGAACCACATACACCAGTGGTTCTCAACCTTTCTAATGCCGCGACCCCATAATACAGTTCCCCATGTTGTGGTGACCCCCAACCACTTATACACCAAGGGCCTGGCCAAAGAAAAGGAGGAAAAAAATGGCGGACAGCCTTGTTTGGCGACCCCCATGAAATGGTCGTTCGACCCCAAATGGGGTCCTGACCCACAGGTTGAGAACCACTGACATAGACGAATACCGAATTTTCTTTTGTCAATGTGTCTCAACCTCAGCAGCTTTTAAGCCGCGTGGACTTCCACGCCCCAAAATGTAGGACTTGGATCATCTACCTGTTAAACTTGACGGCCAGGCCCAAATCTGCAATGCAGCAGACCCCGTTCCTCTTGATCAAAATATTTTTGCTCTTCAGGTCTCTGTGAGCAATCGCAGGCTTGCCTTGCGTCCCATAGATTTCGGTGTGCAGATGGCAGAGACCGCAGGCAGCGGAATACGCCAGCTTCAACAAAGCTCTGTTGTCCAGAGTGGTGTACTGCAGGAAATCGTACAAAGATCCCTTTTCGTGATAATCGGTGATCAGGTAGAGGTGAGTCAAGGACCCGGTGCCTTTAATATCTGCTGCTATGAACCCTGCAGGATTTGGAACAGAACGGGGGGTTAAGTGCTTTCCATGAATCATTCAGCGAGAAAAACAAATTTAGAGATGGATAATGAATACATTCAAAAGCATTTTAGAGACACGAGGCAGGTCGCTGTCACCCAAATCCAGTCATTCAGCTTTTAGGATAATAAAAGCCAAATGTTGCCGGTAGCAATGATTCATTTTAAGACAGCTCATTTCCCCCCCCCCATTTTTGAGTTTCTGGTTTGTATTTTTCATGGCGGTGGTTCAAGCTTTGCTAATGTGAACAGGTGAAAAAGCAAAATATGAAGGGATTCTCCCCTTTTTGGACATATCACAATGTTATCTTCACCGAAACCCTCTGTTAAGGGTCATGTGACTGCCCACAAGTAGTGTGAAACATTGATACGGCAACCGTTGATTAACAGATTTTCCACAGATCCTTCTGTGGAAAAAGTAAGTACACTTTTGGCTCTTAATTCCTGGTCTCCTGGCAGAAACATCAAGTAGGAGGCAGGAAAGGCTGTAAAGAGCTCCTCCAAAAGTAAAAGCTTTATTTTATTTTATTTTTCTTTTATTTAACATCAAGGAAGCATTCCTCCTCACTGTCTACCAATCTCTGAAATTGACTAAGGGGATTTTTTTTCCAGCTATGCAACATTTGAGAGATGTCTTGCATGCACAGCCAGTTTTAAATTACCTCGCAGCATCTTTTTGGGATTTAAATCTGGACTTTGACTTGGCCATTGGATTCCTTCCTTCCTTCCTTCCTTCCTTCCTTCCTTCCTTCCTTCCTTCCTTCCTTCCTTCCTTCCTTTCCTTCCTTCCTTCCTTCTATTAAAATGTTTAGTGTCATGTTGCAAGATCTACTTTCAATTTAACTTCAATCCTCTTCCAGATGGTCTCCCATTATCCTTAAGCCTCCTGTGACACCATGAGCAATTCATTCATGTTTGCAGCTGATCTGGTGGACTCGATTTTAATTTTAAGCATCCAAGCTAGGGATAAAATGTAGGCGCGCGCTTCCTTTTTTTTCCCCCCCGCAGGCGAAATCTGCAGCGACGTTTATGTAAATGACAGAAGGGAACGCAAATTGTAAATGCTGCACGATCTTTTGTTAAATTATATCCCCTTTTATCAATACAATTGAAAGGAAGATCAAAAATTTGTACGCTGAAATATGTTGGAAAGCTTAAAAAAAAAAAAGTAAACGGGATGTGTTCGCTTTTTTTAAAAACAAGATTGTATAGAAATGACACATGCTATACTACCTGCAAATCCAATGGAATAAATGGGCTCACTCTGAATTTTAGGAATATAGGCAAGGCAGTTCAAGTTTCACTTTACTGGAGAAAAGGTTTCAAGCCTTAACAACTAACGGTGGAAATGAAATTCAGTAAAAAATAGGAGAAAAACAGCTTAGCATCTTGGAGAAAACCTTGGTCACCTTTTCGTATTCTGCTAGAACAGTGGTTCTCAACCTTTTTAATGCCATGACCCCCAACCGGTCGTAAGTCGAGGACTACTCAACTGGTGCAGCACCGTTTGCAGAATGGGACTTTTGGCGGGCTCAGCAGGGCAGAGACAGCCTGGACAATTCCTATTGGCTTTTGAAAGCCAATAGAATTAGACTCTATTCAAGAGAGTCTATTCTATTGGCTTTCAAAAGCCAATAGAATAAAAGGGAGTAGCACAGCTAAGGAAAAGGGGAAAAAAATGGCAGACTGCGTTGTTTGGCGACCCCGTGAAATGGTCGTTCGACCCCAAATGGGGTCCCGACCCGCAGGTTGAGAACCACTGGGCTAGAAGTGTTGCATTGTGCATGACGTCCTTCCAATGACAAGGCAATCGCAGCGTGAGCTGCTTATATACTTACCGAGTATATTTTCATGGCGCATAAGGACCGTCTGGTAAATCTCCGTTTCCCGAAACCAGCTGGCTTCTTCGGGAGTGCAAAAGACTTTCACTGCCACCTTTTCCCCTCTCCATTTACCCATCCAAACTTCACCGTATCTGCCTTTTCCAACCTGCTGGATCATCTGAATCTGTTTGGCGATCGTCCGTTGCACCTGACCCAAAGAGAGAGAGAGAGAAAAAAAAAATGACAGGTGAAATGTCTGAACGTCTTTATTTAAAAAAGAAGAAGAATGTGAACTAAAAAAAGATAACAACCTATTTGAGCATTTCATAGATTAGGTGCTTAAATGGTTTGTTTCAAAAACAGCTGTCTTTTAAATTAAAGCATATACAGTAATAGCTGAAAAGTACGGGACTGAATCATCTGGTAGCAACCAAAATTCTTGTACTAAATTAATGTTGCTTGCTTTTCTTCAAGAAAGCCTTAGTGCAGTGGTTCTCAACCTGTGGGTCGGAACCCCATTTGGGGTCGAATGACCATTTCACGGGGGTCGCCAAACAATGCAGTCTGCCATTTTCCCCCCTTTTCCTTAGCTGTGCTACTCCCTTTTATTCTATTGGCTTTTGAAAGCCAATAGAATAAACTCTCTTGAATAGAGTCTAATTGTATTGGCTTTCAAAAGCCAACAGAAATTGTCCAGGCTGTCTCTGCCCTGCTGAGCCCGCCAAAAGTCCCATTCTGCAAATGGTGCTGCACCAGTTGAGTAGTCCTCGACTTACGACCGGTTGAGTAGTCCTCGACTTACGACCGGTTGGGGGGGGGGTCGCGGCATTAAAAAGGTTGAGAACCACTGCCTTAGACCAGTGATGGCGAACCTTTTAGAGACCGAGTGCCCAAACTGCAAACCAAAACCCACTTATCTGACTGAGTGCCCAAACTGCAACCCAAAACCCACCCAGTGGGCCATGGGTGTGGCTATATTGGTCATGGCAGATTGGGTGGGTGTGGCCAAGGTGGGCATGGTCACCTCAATGTTGCTCGTGGGGAGGGACGCCTGTGGGGGCCGGGCAATGTTGGGGGAGATCTAGGGGGTCTCTGGCAGGTGGGGTGGTGGGCAGGAGGTTCGTCCTGCGGGGTGAGGCAAGGTGAGGCAGGGCGGGGCTGCCATTCTTGCAGGGCAAGGCGAGACAGGGGCCGGGGTGGCTGCTGCCTGACACCATCGGCCGCCACACACAGAGGCCAGGAGCACATGGGGGCTGACAGTGTCCGTTAGCAGCAACAGCCGGCCGGCCCCTCAACCGGTGCACTCTGGGGCTCTGAAGCCCACCGCCAGCAGTTCAGAGAAGCCACCTCTGAGCTGGATGGCTGGCCGACAGCTGAGGAGACGATGCAGTGGGTCGTGCCCGGAAAAAGGAGAGCATGTGAGGCCAGGAGGGACATGACCCGGGGGGGGGGGAGAGGGAAACCAGTCGTGCTGGGATGCATCCAGCCACGTGGGACCTTGGTGAGTTAGTGGACGCCTGGTTGAAGAGGGACAGTTGCCAACTCCGGGGCATGGCACGCGTGCCCACAGAGAGGGCTCTGAGTGCTGCCTCTGGCACGCGTGCCATAGGTTCGCCACCACTGCCTTAGACTGTAGAAGGAATGGCAGAGCCCGGGGTTTGAAATGAAAAGAGACATCAGCCTAGAATCCCTACGTAGACACAAACAAAGCCCAACCTCTTTGAGAGCTGTTGAATCTTATCTAGTTCTAACCAGGTGCTGATTGTTAATTGAGGAGATTCCTGTATGTGGGTGATTAACAACAAAGAAAATGAGCTAAATGAATAAACTCTGTTAAACTGAACCTTCACATGTGGGCCTCACGCTGACAGAAACCTTGTCAGCTCTGCTGCAAATCACAGAACTCTTAAATCACGGGCTTACCAACAGAGGCAGTCCAGAACCACTGCCAGAGCTGATCGACTGGTCAATGAGATCCTTTAATGATTCCCCAATTGGAATGAAAGCCTCATCCTGCTCCAAATCACGATTGTAACGTCGTCTCTTTGCCAGCCCTTTGCAGTAATGCCTGGAGGAAAAACCAAGATTCAAACTCGGGCATCTTGATTTCATTTGTGACGTAAACTCTAATTGGTCAAAAAAGTAATCCCAAAATTATGTGCCACAGAGTTCCTCCATTTTTACATTAAGCAACAAGCATTCTCGCTTGCGCGGTGTCGCACGCTTCCATCGGCCGTCCTCTATAGCAAGTATAAAAAGATACCATTGGCTGAAAGACTAACTTGCTTCTCTGCCCATTTCATGTTAACTCTAAACATGAAATGGGCAGATAAGCAAATACAGGTCCCAAATTATTATTATTATTTTTTTTAACACATTTTATTGTTTTTTTTTTTAAATTCTTAAGAAAAAGTACTCAGGACTCACCGTGGTGGTTGGGTGATCAAACATTCAAAAATAAAAATATATATAAACAACACAACTCAATAAATTTCACTATCCCCTCTCTATTCCCCTCAATTAACATTCCATTTCTATTTCAAATTTCTATCACTATTAAACCTGTATTATAACTTTATCAGTTTACAATTACAATAGTTTAAATTTAAAACAAGAAATTATCAATTCTAATTCTTAATCTCTCACATCCCTCATTTTATCACCAAACTCATTTATTTCTTCTTCCACTACACAATAAATATCCTAATAGCAATAAAATATTGATCAGCCCTATGTATATGTAATCCCAAAGTCAATCCATCTCTTTAAAATAACAAGATAATATTAAACCTTAATTCATTCAAATTCATTAAACAAAGTTCAAATTTTCTCTAATTCCTTATCATGACAGGTCCCAAGTTATTAAACATATTTTATATCTAGCACATACTCCAGATTCAGCCATAGTTTCATTCCATACAGCATTAGCCTTGTGAAGCTTCCTCCTTCCGTTATATATTCAAGATGGACAGTACTTAATATTTATTTGCTACGTATATGTAGGGATGTGGGTCTATACACATGTTGTACATAGTATGTTTAGGTGTGTGTCATGTATGTGTTTCACTCTGAGAGCGGGCAACTAAATTTCATTTTTGAGGTGTGCCGTTGTGCCCACAGTAAAACGATGACAATAAAGGTTATCTTATCTTATCTTATCTTATCTTATATAAGACCATGAATCCTGAAAGTTTTTTCCACATTCCACTGCAGACTGTGTAGTATGTGTGTGTGTGTATGTGTATGTTCCTGAGTATTATTCCACTTTATACAATTTTCTACACATTTAACAACCAAAAGTGATGTCAATAAAATTGGGTTCCAACTCTAAATTGCCTTTAAAACTGCCAGTCTATTTAATACAACACAATAAAGATGCAAATATCCAACATGGCTTACCTGTAGCAGAAGCAGCCTAACAGGGCAATCATGGCCATTATGCAGACCGCCATGCAAATAAGCACAGCTATCCAACGTATGCTGCCATCAAACAGGTTATCTAAACAAACAAACAAACAATAAGTGAATATTTACAGTGTTTTTCACCCTTGGTCACTTTCAAGACATGTGGGCTTTAACTCCCAGAAGTCCTCAGCATAGCTGGCTGTGGAATTCCACACATCTTAAAAGTTGCCAAGGTTAAGAAACACTGCATTAACGTCATCATAATTAAATGCAAAACTCACAGAAATGATCAAACAAGGTTTGGACAAATCTCATTGCAATCTATCTTCAGAAATGCAATTCTGTAATTGCTGTTATGTACAAACTGTATACGGAATGTCGGCATCTGTGGGTCTGTTATTACTGAACGGGCACCTTACTCCGCAGAGGTCATAATTAACAAGGTAAAGTTCTCCAATTTGAAACGGTTTGAAACAGGGCAATCTGCCTAGCACTGGGGTCTGCAATCTTGACAACTTTTAAGACTTGGAAGACATAGCTGGCTGAGGAATTCTGGGAGCTGAAATCCACAAGTCTTAAAGTGGTCAAGGTTGCAGACCCCTGGCCTAGCGCCTGATTTGATGTCTATGCGATCAATACATTATTTCCCCCAGAGTTTTATATTATATTTTATTACACTGGGGACAAAACTGTGGAAACCTTTTGGGAAAAGTGTACAGTAGAAATGCCACCTCTGGTTACGTTTCCATCCATTTATCTTCTAATTTCTTTATAACTATAGCCTTGTTCACTTAATAATACTATTTTAAATCGCTTTCTGGGCGACCAGTCAACTCTTTGCACCATGACTTTAATTTTATTACATTTTACAAGCTCACTAAATGAAGGAACACAAAAAAAACCCCCAACCAACTTGATAACCATCACATAACACACTGACCAATGTCCTCCTCTCAGCTTCAATACAGGACATAAATAACTGAATCCTATTGTGATCTGACTGGTTCATTGCCAAAACAAGATGATACCCGATTGGCTCTCTAAACACTCATGCTCATTGGCTACAATCAGATGAAGGAAAGTTACCTGACATCAACCTAAGCAAGTCGTGCTTCCTTTTTCTGGTTATTTGGCTATAACTTTTCATAGAATACAGTACAGATAATTGAACACAGTTTGTTGCATTACGTTCTTGATTAAATTATCTTTCCATTGATATATAATTTTATGGTACTACTCCAAAAAAAAGTGGTGTTATTAGCCATCAAACCTTAAAAATACACTTTTCCCAAAAGGTTTCCACAATTTTGGCCATTACTGCATTCTCAGGACAAATTGATGTCCACCTTGCTAACTCTTTTGTTGCTTGGATTCAGCTACTGGAGCGATAGACCAAGGTTGAAAAACAGATGGGTAAAATCCCCGTGCAGACGCCCACTGCCCCGTGGATCACACCCACTGCGTATCAGCAAGCACTGTACCTTTTGGAGCAGGGGATAGAGTGGGGTGTAAATCTTGATTGCAGAAGTCGGTCCGGCAACATTCAATGGTACGTCGTCGTAGAACAATTCGGGAATCCTACAGAAGAAATTGTACCCTGAAGCAGCGCAGAAGCACACGCGTACCGGTATATGCACGCAAAAACACACATTGGTTAGTTAGTATTATTTAGCATATGAGGAGGACATGATGGAATTGAAGTCAACATATATACACAGTCTACGTAATTATAAGTACTTCTATTGGGGGGGGGGGGGTAACGCAGTGGTTTCATAACTGGATGTCCAATTCGGCTTTGGCTTTGCTTCGTGCAGATCTTTTAAAGAACCAGACCAGGCATTTTTGTGGGCAATTCTGCACAATATGTTTCAATAGTTTAATAGTTAGCACCACAATCGCAACAAGGGGAATCTTTCCACCTCGGCTGATGCAGGACAGAGACAATTCTTCCAGTATATCACACCTAATTTTGTGCAAGTTTGACCAGACAAAACCAGTAGTTTGGTAGAGGGATCACTAAGAAAGTGATCTTGAGCTATTAGTTAGTCCTATGTATTTTCATAACGTACAGACGTTCCAAAATCTACAACAACAGGCACTTACGTATGTTGTCACTTTCCATACAACGTTTAAAGTAGAGAAATGAGATCTGCCACAAAAGACTGTGACGTGACGGTCAGGCAGCCATAGCCCCATTCTATTTTACACTTTTTTAATTTTAATTTTATTTTCCATTTATTCCTCCAACATTTGGCATTTTCTACTTAGCGAGCAAACACAATTCTCTCCGGGGACCTGTGGACAGCCACCCCGTTAATCCTGCCTGCCTCTTTGCATACACAATAAAGTTGTTTCTTCTGAGTTAAGCAAAACCCGCTGTCATCAGCTATCACTGATGACTCCATGCAGCTATTTTCTCGGCCACCACGTGGAAGGGTGGTCATCTCCTTGTTCTGGATTCCCCCCCCCCCCAACTTCTCAGACTAGTAGTCTGCAGCTCTGGTATTCCTTGACAGTCTCTCATACTCAACGATCGACTGCAATTGGGATCAGCAACCGCTAAGCGACACGGTCCATAAATGAAACGTCACGCGACCAGGCAGGACTTACAACATCAGTTCTGCTGTGGTCATTAAACGAATCGCCCTGGGTTCTTAAGTGTGACATCACGTGACTGTGTCTTCCACCAAACTACGACTCAACTTCCAGACAATTCTACCTGGATGATTGAGACTCTGCGGTCATCGATATTGCCGCTCACTTTGGGAAAGAAACTCTGAGGTTAGGGCAGGGAGGCCCTTTTATTTTCATTTATGAATAAAAATTTTTAAGAGCTGGCACATTCCAGTGACCGTTTGCATCCCTCAGATTCCCCTAACTGTCTTGCTCAGACTGAAGCAGTTGCTTCGATGGACAGAGAAATGTCTCAAACCGACAAGAAAATAAATCCCATTGCCACGATTCAACTTCCAGACTATTTCTGATAAAGGGACAACCTTTTAAAGCTTTTTGGAAACCATCAATGCGCTGCCCTTGGCCTACAGCAAGGTTAGGTTTTACCAAAAACCAATAAGCAGATTTGGGGAAAGCTAATATTGATGTCTTCTCCTTATTTCTGAAAACCGCTTAGAGAGTCAGCTGTGGGGTACCTTGCACTGGAAATCCGAGCCTTCGTACTTCATGCAGCCGGAAGAAAGAGTTTTTTCTCCATTTTCGTCCTCCTCAATGATGGCAAAACAATGCCCGTTAGTTCTAAAAAAAAAAAACCCAGACGAATTAGCTTCAGTCCTCCGAAAACTGCATTCAGCCAGTCTGTTCAATAAACAAAGTTATTTTTCTCCTTGTGACATTACGGGTGCGCCCTACGCTGACGGGAAATGAAACCAGCTGCAAATAGAAAACGCTGGACAGAATGACACCTAGAAATAAATTTATCGCTCCATTTTATTTACACACACACACACACAAAAAGAGAAACTGGTCCTATGGGCACAAAAATAACTAGATTGGCAGTGGCATAATAGATTTCTCTCTCTCTCTTTTTTTTTTTTTAAAGAACGGTCCGTAGTTACCGAATACAAAACCCATAAGCCGTTTTCCTATTGCCGACATGGCCTAACAAAAGGCACTTTTCTAATCTGAAATTTGGATTTCAATTTTATATGTATATGTATATATATATATATGTGTATGTATGTATGTATGTGTGTATATATATATATATATATATATATATATATATATATATATATATATATATATATATATATATATAGGTCTTTGGTTGTTCGGGTTTTCTCCTGCGTAAAATTGGAAGTGTCTTGGCCAAGACACTTACAATTTTACGCGGGAGAAAACCCGAACAACCAAAGACCTACATACAATTACCCGCGAAAACCTCAGAAAACATATATATATAATAAAATTTGGATTGCTAACAAAGAATTAAGGGAGAATGGAATAGCTATTTCAAACTTTTTAGTTCTCATCAACCAGACATACCCTTCTGAGATTCGAACCTGGGCTGTCTGCATGTTAAGCAGCTCTGTTAACCTCTAGGCCACAGGCTCTGTCTCACTTTGTCAGTTGTGTCAGGGAGGGAAGAGAGCAACCACTTTGTAGGCCTCCAGAATTACGATGCTGTTTTCCCATTTGGGATGTGCCTTCAGTGCCAGATGGTTCCGCAATATACATTCAATACCAGCAGAGTGGATATAAATGTGATCACTAGAGGGCGATAAATAACAGCAAGTCTAAAACGGCCGAATCACGTCTTTTGACTTTTATGAATGGCGCTGTTCAAAAAGGTCCTAATGCATTAAAAATGTTATTATCTTGAAATTTCCGAAATATTCCAAAAGAGGAAAGCAATGAATTTAATCATCAACATATAAAGAATGAAAAACTAGGGAGGGCAAGTGATTTTTTGAAGCTTCCTGTCTCACCAGGTCTTACCAACACTTACTTGCATGTGTTATTAATGGCGTTCTCTGGACAGTGACCTGAACAGTAGCACTGTAAAAAAGGCATGATGTCCTCTGGGGCTACAGTCACACCATCTTCCTGTTTCTGCTGGTCAGGATCTGTCTTTATTCCTGCCGCGTGGATCATGCTGTCTCTGTTCCAGCCTGTGGGATGCATAAAGGACGTTTGTCTGTTTTGCTGCGAATCCGCTTGCAGCGAAGGTTTAAATGCTTAGACCGCATTAGAGCCACTAGATCGTTTCTACTTATCGTTTCCAAAACCCTAATCTGAAAAATATACACTCTAACCCCCAAAGCATGTTTTCCTGTAAGAAAGCAACACTGAATCACAATGGAGCTGAATTCCAAGCAAATGTTGAAGATAGTCAGAACAAAAGATTGAACATAAATGTTAACAGAAAAACAGAGCTGGAAGGGACCTTGGAGGTCTTCTAGTCCAACCCCCTGCTCCAGCTGGAGTCACTATACCATTCCCTACAAATGGTTGTTCAGTCTCTTCTTAAAAACCTCCAGTGATGGAGCACCTACAACTTCTGGAGGCAAGCTGTTCCACTGGTTAACTGTCCTCACTGTTAGGAAGTTTCTCCATTCATTCCAGGTTGCTTTTCTTTTTGATTAATTTTCATCCATTGCTTTTTGTCTTGTCTTCTGGTGTTGTTGAAGCCCGACCATCTTGAAGTTGCCAAAAAATTGAGAAACACTGGAATAAAGCCTATTTTAAAGAAACTGGAGTTCTTGCCTCTAAATTATTAGAAGTATAACCGCTATTTCTACAAACTGATAAACCTATCGTATAAAACATATTCTCCTCTTCTTTATAGTACTATAAAGATTTTCCTTTTGAGTCAAAGCAGGGATTCAATGACTTGTCACTCTGGATACAGGGATAGGCCACCTTGGCTTTTAGGACTGGTGGACTTCAACTCCCAGAATTCCTGAGCCAACATGGCTCAGCTTGGAAACCTCTCCCTTTCCCCTCAGCATGGCTGGCTCAGGAATTCTGGGAGTTGAAATCCACGTGTCATAAAGCAGCCTAGGCCAGAGATAGGCAACCTTGGCTCTTTTATGACTCGTGGACTTAACTCCCAGAATTCCTGAGCCAGCATGGGGGAACTATGGCCCCTTCATGACTCGTGGACTTCAACTCCCAGAATTCCTGAGCCAGCCTGGCTCAGCTTGGAAACCTCTCCCTTTCCCCTCAGCGTGGCTGGCTCAGGAATTCTGGGAGTTGAAGTCTACGAGTCATCAAAGGGCCAAGGTTGCCTAACCCAACTCCAGAAGGAACTACAGCTAGTCCTTGATATACAAGTTCATTTTAGTGACCGTTCAAAGTTACAACGGCACTGACAAAAGTGACTTATGACCGTTTTTCACACTTATGACCACCGCAGCATCCTTAGGGTCACGGAGTCCAAATTCACACGCTTGGCAATTGACTCATATTTGTGACGGCTGCAGTGTCCCGCGAACCCCTTTTTTATGAATTTCTGACAAGCAAAATCAACGGGGAAGTCAACAGATTCATTTAACAACTGTGTGACTTAACAACTGCGGTGAGTCAGTTAACAACTGCAGCAAGAAAAGCCGTAAAATGGGGCAAAATACTTTTAAATTTTAGGCTCCATCGTGCTTGCGGGTTGAATAAAATTCCAAGAAATACCTATCAAAAATTTGCCCAGAAGTCTTCTCTTAAAAGATTAAGGGGGGGGGGGGAGAGAGATTTTCCATTTTAGCTTTAGCAGGGCAGCAGAGGTTTACCACTTAAGACGCATTTTCATCTTCCTGTTTCGAGAAAACCAGCTGCAATAATTTAGTACTTGAAATGGATTTGGGATCAATAGCTTCTAAAGACGGTTCTTCGTTTCCCAACAACTGCAGCGACTGAAAACCGGGGAAATCATTAGATCCCATTGACTGAAAACAAAATAACGGGAACTGCCAAAGGAACCACTTCAATGGACTGACACAAAACCATAAATGTCACACAGGCACACACCTGTGGAAACAACGAGGAAGGAAATCAGAAATTAATATTTTATAAACAAACTGGGTACGCCGGTCGAAAAGTTGCACGGCTGTATAGGACAGTGGTGGCGAACCTATGGCACGCGTGCCAGAGGCGGCACTCGGCGCCTTCTCTGTGGGCACGCGCGCCATCACCCCAGCCCCGCCTCCCCCTGCGGCCCCCTCCTCTCCAGCAGCCCCCCTGGAGGAGAGTTGCCCCCAGGCATCTGTTGCCTGCACAGAGCAGCGTACCCAAGGACATAGCCAGGCAGCAGAGACAAGACTCCACCCTCGCGCTTTATAGCCTGCAGATGATCTGCGCGGTGTGGGCAGAGGGCGTAGCTGCCATGGTGCTGCAGGGCTGCCTGGGTGATCTGCTACAGCGGGCCATTGAGGCAGTGCATGGCCTGTGGGCGGGCGGAGGAGGCAGGCAGGGGCGGAGCAGACAGGGCGGAAGGTGGAGCGGGGGCGGGTGGCAGGTTTGGGGCACTCAGTCTGTAAAAGGTTCGCCATCACTGGTATAGGAAATCAAATGAAGTTAGTGCTGGTTTAAGTAGTGCGGCTCCAATGAATCTGGAATTTGCTACAAGACAGCTGTGAGAGACTTCAGCATACTTCAGATCTTGACAAATGGGTAGCACCCCAGGCTGCGGCTTTGAAAAACACAGCACAACGCATTCTGGGATGGAGTGAAACTTCTGAAGAAGTGACATGGGCTTTGGAAGTGCTCCTTAGAGCTGTTTATTTGGCGACTGAGGAAGTGATCTTTCCTGGGACAGCTATCCCTCAGCTAGAGGGGTCTACAGTTTTGACATCTCCAGACAAAAACTCAACATCAATAAAGAATGTCAACTACGCTGGAATTCCTTTCTTACAATTTTAACTATTCTAAACTGTCTCACCTTTTGTAAAAGTCTGAGGAATGTGTAATCAGGGACTCGGGCGTGTCTAATTTAATAAAAAGAAGAACTAGGAGTGACAGGATAGCTGCAGTGGCAACAGTTAACCCCCATTTATAGTGACTTTGACATAATATGAAGGGTTCCCCCCCCCCAGATTTCTGACACCTGTATTGAACTGCTATTTATAAAATGAATTTGTCAGTAGCCTTCCTTGCTAGCTCTTGAATGCTCAGGTCTAGCCTCTGTTTCCTCGTCTTCTCTCAGACTCTTCACAACTTTCCAAAAGTTAGATCTTATCACTGGGAGACACTTGTGCTTGTGTAATTTTGGCACTTTAAGATAGAGTGATGCAAGTATTCTGTGCTTTATTCTAAATTTCATTGGGAGATTGGCTGTAACTTTTTATTTGCATATGTATTTAAAAGCAAGACAAACAAAATATTATTTTTAAAAAATTCTCCATCAACGTTAAGAAAATCTGGCAGTCATTATGTTTTATATAACAAAAAAATCCTCGTTTCTGTTTTCTTATTCAGCTAATCACCCATTTTTCACAAATTCTACTTCATTTCTCCTGTGTTTATGACAACCAAAATTCCTAATTTTATATCCAGTTAAGAAGCACAGGCCAATTAAAATAATTTTATCTCAAATCTCCGCCTAAACAATGTACAAACGTTCATAAAATATTTTTTTTAACCGCAGACCGGCAGTCGGTAACCCTCGTGCCAGATTCCTTGTATTATTTTGTAGCTTTTGGTTTTCAAAAGACATTAAAAGTTTGGAAGCCTGCAGGAGCTTATCACTGTATTTCAAACTGCAAACCAAACATAAGAGTGTCTCTGTTGTGCGTAAACATTTTGGGCATCGAGACCATTCCTTAAAATCTGAAATTTCAAAAGCGCGACTTTACCTTGAAAAATGAGGAACCCGTAGAAGAACCACAGCAGTCTGATGAAAACTTTTGAACAGATCATGGCTCAGCGATTAAAAGCCTTTCTGCTCACTGTCAGATTTGGCAAGTTGTTCTACTCTTGACAAACTTTTTACGCTGGACTCTTCAGAGAAATCTGAGCAGTTTGGCAGTCGGCTGAATCCAAACTTTAATTCTTCCAGTTTTTCTTCTGAAAAAGAAACAAAAAGGAATTTTTGAACAGATAATAAATTCCCTCAACTAGAACAAATCTGGAAAGGGGGAAAAAAAAAAGTTTCACACAGCTAATGCATAACAAGGTCTTAAAATAAGTATATGTAGACAAGACAAACTAAAATAGCCCTTGTGTTTTATGACTACTTATTTACTGTTTGAATTTATACCAGCTGCAATGGCCAGAAAGGAATTTACTAGCTTCTGTGTACACAATCAATGCACCTCAAACAGGTAAGTTTTTCTTTACCTGAGTAAAAAGAAGGATTTTCAGTGGTCCAATACCACTTTTCTAAGATGTTGAGACCTTAGAAAAAGTTCAGAGAAGAGCAACTAAGATGATCCAAGGCCTGGAGACTAAAACATATGAAGAACGGCTACAGGACTTGGGTTTGGCTAGTCTAAAGAAAAGAAGAAATAGAGGTTGACATGATAGCAGTATTCCAGTATTTGAGAGGCTGCCACAAAGAAGAGGGGGTCAAATTATTCTCCAAAGACACCAGATCGCAGGACGAGAAACAATGGTTGGAAACTGATCAAAGAGAGAAGCAACCTGGAATTAAGGAGAAACTTCCTGACAGTGAGGACAATCAACCAGTGGAACATTTTGCCTCCAGAAATCCTGGGTGCTCCATCACTGGAGATTTTAAAGAAGAGGCTAGGCAGTCACTTGTCTGAGATGGTATAGGTTCTCCTGCTTGAGCGGGGGGCTGGACTAGAAGACCTCCAAGGTCCCTTCCAGCTCTATTCTATTCTAAGATGCTAACGAACTGTATTAGTCAAAACTGAATGAATAATTTCATCAAAGAAACGTCTTTTGCCAGAACCACTGAAAATAAGCAGTTTTACGTTATCTCACGCTAATCCGCGTTCAAAATAAAAATGCATTTATTAAAAATTATGTTTTTAAAACTCTTTATGTTTTTTTTGGGGGGGGGGAATTAAGTTGCTCTTCTGCTTTCAATCATCCTACTGGATTAAATAAGGCAAAAATGATCATATTAAAAAGCTGCAGCTGATCCGTAGGAGTTGCTTCAATCATTTTAACAGGGACAAACAAGGAACAAACAGCAACTTGAACACCTAAAGAATGAATGCAGACAATACAAATTCCTTGTTCAGATGAACCGAATATGGATTTTGCCTTTTTTTTGGGGGGGGGGCTCTTGTCTGAGTGAGCCTGACCCCTGACCCCTGTCAGCCTGGCCCCATTCTTGAAATAAAAACCCATACTTGTGCAAGGATGTGCTGTAATTACTATTGATAGCTTCTCCTGCCATAAATAATTCAATCTCTCTTTTGGGCAGGATCCAAGGACTTTGGAGTTTAATGACTGCTGCGTAGCCATTTAACATGGCAGCAAATTAGGGGGGGGGGAAGCACAGCGGGGCGTCTGCACGCCTAATTTGCACATGCAAGGGGCACATGGCCTTCAACCTATGGCCTACTTTTCACACATCCGTGACTTCACTAATCGAGAAACAAAATACCGTCCTGACACAAGGAATAAGCCAATTGATCTGATGATTGCTGGGTCTGACTTAGCTACGAAGGCCCAAATCTATGCCTGCTCAGTGCTAGCTAGTGCACAAAAACTCAAGTGTCAAACTTGAAGTAAAAAGCCTGGACAGCTTTACAATTAAGATCCCATTTAGAATAATAAAAGTTGGAAGGGACCTTGGAGGTCATCTAGTCCAACCCCCTGCTCAGGCAGGAAACCCTATACCAGGGGTAGGCCACCTTGGCTCTTTTATGACTGGTGGACTTCAACTCCCAGAATTCCTGAGCCAGCCATGCTGAGGGGAAAGGGAGAGGTTTCCAAGCTGAGCCATGCTGGCTCAGGGATTCTGGGAGTTGAAGTCCACCAGTCATAAAAGAGCCAAGGTGGCCTAACCCTGCCCTATACCATTTCACACAAATGGTGTCCAGTCTCTTTTTTTCCCAGTGATGGAGCACCCAAGTCAAGCTGTTCCATTGGCTGATTGCTCTCACTGTTTTCTTAGTTCTAGGCTGCTTCTCCCCTTGGTTAGTTTCCATCCATTGTTTCTCGTTTTGCCTTCTGGTGTTTGGAAAATAGTTGGATCCTCTCATCTTTGTAGGAGCCCCTCAAATATTGGAACACTGCTATCATGTCTCCCTTAGACCTTCTTTTCATTTGACTAGACCAGGGGTAGGCAACCTTGGCTCTTTTACGACTCGTGGACTTCAACTCCCAGAATTCCTGAGCCCGCGTGGCTCAGCTTGGAAACCTCTCCCTTTCCCCTCAGCATGGCTGGCTCAGGAATTCTGGGAGTTGAAGTCCATGAGTCACAAAAGAGCCAAGGTTGCCTACCCCTGGACTAGACATACCCAATTCCTGTAACTGTTCTTTGAACGTTTTAGCCTCCAGCATCCCCCCTCTAATCATTCATACTGTTCTTCACTGCACTCTTTCCAGAGTTTCAACATTTGTTCATATCTGAACCATGGTCCCATCGTCATTCTGACAGTGCTTTTTCAAGGGTGTTCTCTCCAGATAGCAGAAATGCCGGTGTTTATTATATTTAGATCCATATTCGTATTTGTACATGTAACTATTTGTCAGGGTTTGTGTCTGGGCACTTATTTTCCTGGTTTTGCTTTGAAGTTTTGTTTGTCCAGTAAAAAAGCAAAAGACAAATTAAAAATAAACTTTTAAGTCCCACCCCACTATTTGGAAAACAACTGGAAAAACATTCAGTAGCAAAGTAGTGTACTTTTGCCCAAACGCTAAGAGATATAAGCCATTTTTGTACAAAAACGGTTATATTTGAACAGCATGCATAGAAGTGTGTGTGTGTGTGTGTGTGTGTGTGTGTGTGTGTGTGTTCGTTCCCATTTATAAACAGCCAAAGTTTAGCATATACAAAAAGGATATTGGAACATACCAACCCTTCTCGGAAGGTGAAAAAAATATTGAAAATTAGGAATAAAGCCTCCAGATTGAAAAACCGAGCTGATTAGATAGATGCAAATAGTTTCATTAAGTGTTGGTTTTTATTCACTTTAACAAACAGCAATTTAACAAGCATGCTTTCAATATTTTGACTTTCTGCTTCTTCTTTTGAACAGCCAACCAATCCTAGACTCCAAATCATGCTTTCAAAGCCTAGGCATGATGCGATGATTATGGACGATAACTAGCATGTGTCACACAAAATCTGTACACTGCTCACTTCTATAAGCATCTGGGATTTAGCTAACTGACCTTATCTTTCCGGATCGGTGGTCTGGGCTCACTTATTTTCCTTGTATGTTGAGTGCTAACCTACTTGATTTATAACCTGTCCTATCAACAAGGACAAACACATAGGCTGAAATAAATCCTTGCTTATCTCCTGCGCCCATTAAAGGCTTGGCCTAATACAAAAGTTTTACATCACCTTTGAAAGACAATGAAAAGGGCTGTTATACAACTGGGTGGGAGGAAACCCATGTTTGCAAAACCCAGAAAAATATTTCTCTATGTACAGTTAAGCACTGCCTCATTTCACAAGATGATTTTGTATTTTGAGATCCCAGCAGACAAAGAAACAGATATTCAGAACTTCAGCAAGGAGGTGCATTTGATTTTTTTTTTTTTTTATGCCTTTCCACCTTCTAACTTCTGCAGCTTAAAAATCTTCTATCTTCCCTTTGATGCTGAGCACACCCAGTTCCATTAAAAGGATGTGTTTCACCTCTAATAAAACAGAACACCACACCAACACCATTTGTGATTTTCAGTGTAAAACCACTGAACCACTGGTGGATGGTGGAAGTGTTAGCACCCAAAAATTATGGTTTGAGCTTTCTCCTCTGGCATGCAATTAGCCAAGTGTATCAAAAGTTCTCTTAATTTTTTTTTTTTTTTGAGGCTCCCTGGAATTCAATAGAGATCCTGACAAATAGCATACTGGGAATGTCTAGTTTAGAGAAAAGAAGGACTAGGGGTGACATGATAGCAGTCTTCCAATATCTCAGGGGCTTCCACAAAGAAGAGGGAGTCAAGCTGTTCTCCAAAGCACCTGAAGGCAGGACAAGAAGCAACAGATGGAAACTCATCAAGGAGAGAAGCAACCTAGAACTAAGGAGAAACTTCCTGACAGGGAGAACAATTAACCAGTGGGAGGGCTTGCCTTCAGAAGTTGTAAGTGCTCCATCGGTGGAGATTGTTAAGAAGAATTTGGACAGCTACCAGAATGGTATAGCGCTCTCCTGCTTGTATAGGGGGTTGGACTAGAAGACCTTCAAGGTTCCTTCCAACTCTTTTACTCTGTTATCACCTCCTTTTGCTGGTAGTACTTGAGAGGACTGGAAAAGATGGAAGACGCTATGTATGCAGTCATATTCTCCTGGTGTAGGAGAGGCTTGCTTCATGTCTTGAGGAGTTGAAGGAACAGTAGAGTCTGAGTGGGCCACCTCAGTGGTGACCACTGTTTTAAGCCAACTTTTGAAGTTTGGGTGGAGGATGGACTTATCCATTCCTGGGGAAAGAATGAAGTTCTATGTGGTAATTTGTTGACCGTCATCTCTAACATATGGGCACTTGCTTCTCTGAAGTGATAGGAGACAATCCTTTACCTCAGTGGTTCTCAACCTTGCTAATGCCGTGACCCCATAATACAGTTCCCCATGTTGTGGTGACCCCCAACTACTTATACATCACCGGGTGCCAGGGGCGTGGCCAAAGAAAAGGGGAAAAAAATGGCGGACAGCCTTGTTTGGCGACCCCCGTGAAATGGTCGTTCAACCCCAAATGGGGTCCCGACCCACAGGATGAGAACCACTGCTTTACCTCTAGGACACGGGTAGGCAACCTTGGCTCTTTTATGACTCATGGACTTCAACTCCCAGAATTCCTGAGTTGAAGTCCATGAGTCATAAAAGAGTCGCGGTTGCCTACCCCTGCTCTAGGAAAATGGTGCTCAGCTGAGGATGTGCCCGGGGTGACGGGAGGTAGGTTGTGAAGCTTGGCTT